CTACTCAAATATTTACAGTGGTGAGATGAAGAAGTGAAAATAAATATATCTGAGACTTATAACTAATAAAAACTACCCCTTTTAGAACTTCTCTTAAGCGAATAAGTTGGGAGCCACATGCAAGATATAGTAGATGATTTACAACAATTTCATATCATACAATCTGATTTAAGTTCTTTTTAAGAGTTTGGCTATTCTTTTATTAGTAAATATTTTTTGGTTGATTATAATTTTTTTAACTTATTCTACACTTTTAGAACCATCTCACCAATTTTCTACTTCAGATTTTCTCTCTCAGCCAATTTTCTGGGGCTGAGAGAGAAAATACTCTCCTTGCTCATATTATTTCAATACTCTTCTTGCTTATATTAATTCCTTATCCTTTCTTCCAAACCACTCATCTACTGCTTTTTCAATTGCATACACGAGATTGGGAGGAAGGTGCTATAAAATCTTGATATGATTTTACTCTTTAAGTAAAAAATTACTGTTCAAAGTATTTACATTTTTGGTAATATTGAAATAACTAAAATTTAAATGAACTGATTAGTTTAAGATGATAATACCAAAGTATTTAGCACCAAATTTCTAAAACAATCCAGTTTGAAATATTGTTATGTCAATGCCAATCTTTGCTATAATTATCTTCTGATAGTATCCTATTGAATGGCTTCACTGAATATTCCAATGAATAAAAGTATGAGAGATCAAGAGAATAAATGGAAACAGAGAAAAATGAAAATAAATGCCCATTATTAACAGTGCAATTTAGATTTAGCAGAGTACTATTTTTAAAAAATATTTAGTTCTTCAAATGGATTTTTTAAAATGTCAGATTATTGTGTCCAAATATTATTCTAAGTAGATCTTTGTGAGTATATGTCAGTCAGATAAAAAGATTTCGTTAAACAAACATCAGAAAATAATGATTCTTTATAAGCATTGCAAATTGATGGCCAAATAAACAAAATCTCAAATGCTTTGTGTGTGAGTATGTGTTTTGTATATAATAATAAATTCAATAGCCCTAATAACATTTCATAGAAAAACTCATCAAAATCTATCAAACAAAATATAAGTTACCTCTATCTTTATAAAAATAGCATTTATTTAACCTCCAAAAAACATTTTATCTCTAACTGTATCACCTTCCATTGATATTATTATCTACTTTTTAGAAATGCAAGCAATTATTATCCTTGTTAAAGATTTCAGACACATGAAACTTCAGTGTCAGTATAATAAAAGAATTAAACTCAGGGGAGAAAAAGGAGAAATGTCTATTATGTGGATGATTATAATATTTATTAAATGGTTTTATTATAGAAGTACTCTAAGTGGGTGAGATCAAGCAGTAAAAATTTAAGAATCATGCTAATCTCAAAAATTAGTGTAAAAGACTTCCAAGACAAAAAATTTACTATATTGAACTTTATAAAAATTTATGGAAAATAGCTAATAATATTTCTCTAATGTCTGGCTCATGTCAGTTTATACTAGATTTTTTTTTAAAATTCAATAAAGTATGAGAAAGGTAGCACTAGCAAATAAACTCAAACAAACTTGAAACAGCAGTTAACGTGAATGAGGAGTCATGTGGTGAGTAGGACCTGGGAAAGACCATACATGTTAAAATGATAGCAATAAATAGCAGTAACAGAAAGTAGAATAACAAAGACAGATATGATAATAAAAAGCAAGATATATATTTTGATATGCAAAAATGCTGCATTTTGTGTAAAAATTCATTGCTTATTTATTTACTTTTTAAAGAATATGTGATTAAGCCATGAGGGGAATAGGTTAAATTCATTTCAACTTCTCAGGTAAACACCATGGACTAAATAACGGTTCTCTGAATCCCTGCTTCTTCAATGAGCAAAATATCACTGTGTAGATGTTGGGTTCCATAAACTACAAAAACTAGAGGTAAACATTTTTCCATGTATTTTAAATGCCTTTCCGTAGACGATTTATTTAAAATGTACAACTGAGGTATTAAAACACTTCATGTCTGCCTGTGATAGAATTTTAATGAAAATTTCCCTATTCTCTTCTTGCTTTCATCTATTTTTCCCTTTTCTCAATATCTGTTTTGCTTTGTGGAGGGGTTGGAAATAATGATAATTGTAAAACTGAACTATTAGGGCTTGCTTAAATCAGTGACTGGGAAATAAATTAGCTTCTATTCCCACAAAATAATAATATCAGTAAGTGAGACCTTCCAGTTATGGTGCAGGAAATTAAAGCCATGATGGCTAAAGCTTTAACAAAGTCACAAGAGACTGTATATTATTGATTCCAAGAAAGACAGATTTCTACTATCCATAAATATGACATCTGTCTCAAAATGAATGATTAAAAAAAACCAGGCAAACAAGCTGAATCAGCTCAGTAACAGGAATATATTCAAATAACTAAAAAGAAAATAAAATCAATACTAAACAAAAACAAAAGCAAACCAGGACCTTCAAGAGAACGAAATTGAACTGTTTAAAACAAATATTTGAAATAATATAATGTTAATTTCTTAGAGGGAGAATTCATTAATCAAAATGTAAAATCCTGAGGTCCAGGAAGAATAACTGCTTATGTGGGTTTGCTATCAGGTTAATAGAAATATAAAATTAATGGTGATGAATGCACAACAATAGGTACATAACAAAAACAATCAAAGTATATGTAAAGAAGTTTTACAGTATGTGAATTATGTCAATAAACAAATTCTTTGTTTTAATCTATGATGAGTCTAATGGCTGTCACCTATGATATCTTTAGAGACAACCTCAGATTTTTTTCATATCTTAGTTTATTTTCACACCTATTTCTGAGATCCACAGAATAAACTGAGTTTTAACTAAAATTCACAAAGCCAGATTGAAAAATACTTGTTATTAATTGCATTCAGACAAACGGTGTTATATAGCCTGTTGTACTCAGGGGGGAAAAAAGACCTCAACAAAATTTAGATGGTCTTCTTTTAATTGTATCAGTGCCTATACACCAACACATATGGTATTTTTATTATGCCCCCCCAAATTCTGGCATCCTCTCCTTGGTGCTTCCTCTTTATGGATCCTCATTTCTGGGAAGCAAGCTGCTTTATTGCCATCATGTTCAGGCTGCTGAATATTGGTAGAAAGACATGAAATTTGGCTTAACTTCTGTACAAATTGATGTTATCTAACCTCATCTGAGCCTTCAATGCTGCTTGGAAATCTTTTTATTAAAGTCTAATTGACTCCTGAACACATTTTTCCATAGTGCTCACTTTACAGCTTTTCAAATCTGTCTTTTCAATGTGACCTCACCTATTCACTCAATAAAAATCCTCACTGTCTACTTGATGGAAACTTTTCTCTGCTTCAAAATTCACCTTATCATTTGTAGGGAGTACTTCATTTGAAATAAACCTGTCTTTCATTATCACTTGTCTGAAACTATCTTAGCTGTGTAACCATGGCAAGGCAATTAATTTATGAGGTCCTTGATTTTCTAATCTGTAAAATTAATACCATGTACTTGGTGAGTTTTATTCATTTGTTTTTGAATTTTTTTTGGCAGTGCTGGGGATTTGACTGAAGGCATTGCACATGCTAGGCAAGCACTCTTATCACTGAACTACATCCCAGCCCTTTGTTAAGAAAGGGTCTTGTTAAATTGCTGAGACTGACCTTGAAAGAGTGACCCTCCTGCCTCAGCCTTCCAGGTGCTGGGACTATAGGCATGCAGCACCAAACCCTCCTACTTGGTGAATTTTAAAGCCACGTTCAATATTAAATAAAAGTCTTTCTAATCTTGTGCTTAGTATTTTGTACTTCCCCCAAGACCTTTCCCTTTCATTCAGCCTATACATACTGAATACAAATAAGGCACAAGGCATTTTTTTCTCTGTTAATCTCCTATCAATTTGATTCTTCTCACCTTAAACATGCTTAAGACTTCATCTTCTAAAATCCTTCTTCATTATTGTAATTGCACAAGCTAACGGTTTCACTACTTTTCAATCAAATTACTGCAGGATATGGATAATACTTGAAGACTTTGCTTTCTTATGACTAACGTATCTTTTTATACCTTCAATTTGGCTTCTGTTTCTGGCACTTTCTCAAAACAGCTGTTGCAAAGGTCAAATGATTTTTTTTTTTTTTTGATGCTCATCCTACTCGAACTATCCCTGACATAAATCATCACTGGTTTTGAACCACCATCTTGAAACTTTGTTTTCACTTTCCTTGACCCTCAAAGTCCGGTTCTATTTCTGGGGTGCTGCTTTTCTCCTCTCTTTCTTTACTTTTCTGTTCCTTTCCTGGTCTATGTCCCAAACATGGATATCCATCAGTGATCTCTTTTGATCTTTATTTTTCTTCTACTTAAAGCCTCACTCATCCTTGGATCTTAATAGTTTATGTGGAATACAAAAACTTTTTAACTGAACTCTTTCAGTAGCTGGACATCTCTATTTGTTGGTCTCACTAACCTAAAGTTATATTGAAATTAAAATTCATCACTACACTCCAAAACCCACATAAGAGGAAGAAAAAAAGAGGGGGAGGGGGAACGCAACCTGTTCTAGCTCTTAGAATTCTTCCATTAATGATAAAAAAGTTTTCTAGTGATCAGGAGTCACATGACAGGGAAAAAAAATGTCACTTGTGTCAGGAACTGCTCTGTCCTCTGAAAACCCACAGCTTTTCATATACTTAGCTCTTTATTGTACAAATATCTCAAGTCTCTGAAAAACAACAAAATTATCATTCTTACCTGAGGTTATGATCTAGAAAACATATGCTGTTTTAAAACAGCATCAAAATTAGTCTCAAGCCATTTTTCCCACTTCACAACAAAAATGTAATCATACATTGAATTATATCTGTTCGCTTTTCCAGATCCTTCCTTTAATTCTGTGAGTTAATACAAAGACCGAGAGAATCCAATGAAAGCTCATTTCAAGTAGAGTTAAAGAGAAGGAGAAAAGAGAGAGAAAGCCATCCACTCACACTTTGTCTGTCCCATAACTCCTGTAATCCACAGCCGCAGACACAGCCACAATGAGCGCGGGCATCCCATAGCCCACCAAGTAGAAGTACTTCCTCCGTGAGTGCTCACTCTCGAAAACCTCCACCAGCATGATGTAGAGCTGCACGCCCTCCAAGAACATCCAGGTGAAGGCAGCCAGGAAGAAGAAATGTAAGAGGGCAGCGAAAACGGCACAGGCGATCTGGGAAGATGAGCAGAGTCAGTCAAATATCTGCCACGTGAGTGTGGGTCAATGGCGAAAAACTGACGTGAGTGTTTATCAACATTGCCATAGTAAGGTAGACCTGCAGAAGTCATCCAGAGAAGATCTTTAAAATACAAGTGTAAAACCCGAATTAAATATGGTTTAATCTTTGAAATCTGTACTTAATACCAATTATGGCTTAGGGATGGCAACATAGATAGCATCAGAATAAGGACAAATTACAACACTTAGGAAAAAATTCTAGTAAGAGCCTCTGGATAATTACCACTAAGCTTAGTCTAAAGATTTTAAAAATAGATTTCAGGAGTTTTTTTTTCCTGGTTAGTCATGTGTGAACTAATATAGTAAATTGTTTCTTTGTTGTTGTCCTTTGAGGCTAGCAATTTAACCCAGGGCCTCACGTGTGCAAGGCAAGAGCTCTACCATTGAGCTAGATCCCCAGCTCTACGTTATTTAATTGTAAAGAAGGGAGAAACATTAAAACCAAGGGTAAGAAATTTTATTAAAATTAAACAATATAATTAATGATAATCTTTTATGATGAGATTACTAATTATTAGTAATTGCTTCTTTATTGATTCCCTGCCTTGTTTCTTTCCTGGTATTTAATTTTGTCAATGTACTATGTATCACTCTAAACAAGATTAGTCAAATGAAGCAACAGTTCTTATTTATTTATTTATTTGTTTGTTTATCTTTCTATTTATTTATTTATATTAGCACACACATGACTAGGACCAGGAGAAAAAAAAATAATCCTGGAAGCTATTTTTAAAATATTTATTTATTTATTGGTACCAGGGATTGAAGCAAGGGTTGTTCTACTATTAAGCTACATCATCAGTCTTTTTCTTATTTTTTTAATTCTTGAGACAGGGTCTCAGTAAGTTGCCTGGGTTGACTTTGAACTTTTGATCTTCCTGCTTTAGCCTCTTGAGTAGCTGGGATTAGAACCATGTGTTACTTCATCTGGCATTTATATATAAGGTACTGTAAATTTCTGCTGACCATCTATTAATTTTCCGTTCTCATTTCAGCTCCTGAAATTCTCACTGCTTTGAGTTCTTGCTTTTTACATAAAGTGTTGACTAAATTCTATAACTCCTATTAGCAAACATCAGCACCTTATAGAAATTTTTAAGAATAAGATTAATTTATTGATAAGTCTGGTCCTAAAGAAATGTGACAAGCAGGCATGGTGGTATACACCTTTAATTAATCCAGTGACTTAGAGGCTGAAGTAGGAGGATCACATGATCAAGGCCAGCCTGGGCAATTAGAGAGACTCCATTTCAAAATAAAACATAAAAAGGACTGGAGATATGATCAGTGGTTTTGTGCCCCTTGGTTAATCCCCAGTACCAAAACAAACAAAAAAAAACAAAAAAAAAAAACCAGGGATGGGGATAGAAAAATGTGACAAAGGGTAGGTCACTGTCACTGGGATAGAAAGATGACATGAAGGACATGTGAAAGAGAGAGAAATCAGGTCTCAAGCCTTAGATAGATGTAGAAGAGGATACCTAATCAGCAATAAAAGGAAAGATAAGTTTGGTTGAGCTTCACTATACCCAGGTTTTTTCATATCAATCACTATTTTTTAATGCTTATTTTTTACTTATAGGTGGACACATATCTTTATTTTATTTCATTTTTTATATGGTGCTGAGGATCCAACCCAGGGCCTCGCACGTGCTAGGCATGCACTCTACCTCTGAGACACAATCCCAATCACTATTCTTTTTGTGACTCATGAAAAACCACATTTGTGCAGTAGACAATATTTAGTGAAGCTCATCATACCATATGTAATGTCAGGAAGCAAAAATAAAAATAATATTTCTAAATGAAAAGAAATCAAATAGTATTTAAATTGCAGGTTAACAAAAGAATAACATAATCTCTTCTTGAAAAATAACACAATTTTTCATTTATTGCCTTTTAGAGTTAGAACTTCAGCTATTAATTTTTGTTATTGTAGGGCTTTACTTTTTTGGGGAAAGGAATGTATACTTTGATTGCTTATTCATATATATACATTTAGGGACAAAATTGCCACATAAGTATATGATAACCAATTACAAATATATTCACCATAATTGTACCTTTTCAGTCATTAATCATGAATGTGTAATCACAGATATGAATCCAGCTGCATTTGTCCTATAAAGTACACCATGCATACAGGCACATACTAAAGAACAGTATTAAGTGAATGAATTATTTATTATACTCAAAAGTCTTTCTTTTCCATTGCAGTTTTAATCATGAAAACAAACTAGTACCATAATTATCAATCTTAAACAGAAAAGGCCTCAAAAAATTTTAAGTGGGCACAAAATATATGTAATGTAAGATGTTGTCTATTGTTTATACATTTTGTTTGGTTTTACCAAAAACAGTTGGCTAGTTCCATTTGTTTTTTTCTTTCTTTGTTTCTTCCTTCTTTCCTCAGTAATGACTAAATGTAGGAAATATTCAAGAATGAAGCTGGCATTTAAAGAGGTGAACTGTATCCATCGAAATAAAAAGTACCAAACAAAATTTGGGAAAAGCATATATATTCTAAAAATAACCTATAGTTTGTACTCTTTGCCAAAATATGTCAATTAGAAAAACTATTTTTGAGATGCAAAATGTAAGGTAATATTAGCTATCTTTTCAAGATTATAAAGCTGAAAAAATAACAATTCTGTTTGAAAAGATATTTCTCCATTCTCCAAATGACCTTATTAAACATTCTCCAAGATTCAGCACTACAATTTTAAAAATTAAGAAAAAGATAATGAAGATATGTAGTTCTTCAGAAAGATGTTTATGAGAAAGGAAAGAAAATTTTGGAAGTAATGTAAATCTTATTCAGAATAGTATGGCCATTTCTGAAGATAGTTTGTTAATTTCTCCCAGAACTAAACATATTCTTATGATATGATCCAGTAATTACACTCCTCGATATTTACCTAAAGTAGTTGGAAATATGGTTGTTCAAAAACCTGCATATGAGATGTTTATAGTATCTTTATTCATAATTATCCAAACATGGAAGCAACCAAGATGTCTGTCAGTAGGTAAATGGATAAATAAAGTGGTACATTAGATATTTGGGACTGCTATTCAGTACTATGAAGAAATGAGCTATCTTGTCTCCAAAAGACATGGAGAAAACTTCAATGTATATTACTAAGTGAAAAAAATAAAATCTGAAAAAGCTACAAACTACATGATTCCAACTGGATAATATTTCAGCAAAGGCAAAACTATGGAGACAATACAAATAATTAGTGGTTGCCATGGCTTCAAAGGGAGGGAGGAATAACCACAGGAAGTACAGAGAATTTTCAAGTCAATGGAAATATTTTGTATGATATTTTAAGGGTAAATAAACAGATCTATGCATTTGTCCAAACTCATAAAATATATAAACACCTACAGTGACTTCTAACAAATTATGAACTATGGACTTTCAATAATAATAATAATAATAATAATATGTCAATATGGGTTGGTGAACTGTCACAAATGTATCATTTGGGTGGAGGATATTGATAAAGGAGGAGACTATGCATATGTAAAAGCAAATGATCATTGGAAAATCTCTGTTTTACTGAAAAATCAAAACATGCTCTAATAAAAAAATAAGCAAAAAAATAAAAAATAAAAGATGTGCATCTCATTCACAATATTTACTAGTATTTTATGACAGTGGAACATGAAAAATGAAAAACTTGAGTAACATCTGAAAAGTACTATCTATTAAATGAAAGAAAATATACTTTCAATCTTAATTATTTTCAGTATTGGCAATATGGAAAACTGGAAGTCAAAGAATTCTTTACTAATGTCAATGGAGGTGGCTTACTGGTTGGTCAGTTCGGTTGATTCCAATGAGGAAGAGCAGCTCTGCTACAAAAAGGCTGATGCAGAGGTTCTTGTGGATGGTGTTACGGTCACTCTGGAGCCCGCGGAAAAAGCAAAATGTGAAGATGCAGATCAGGAGACAAACAAGAGACAGCAAAATTCCAACCCATGTAATCACATCCAAAAGAAGGTCATGGACTGCATCACTGTGCTGAAAACACAATAGGAAAAAAAAAAGTTGTAATCATCATAACCAATTATAAAGTTTCATATGTGCCTGGATTCAGGAAACATGATCTTAATAACCCACAAAATATCCTTTACCAATAAATAAAAATTTCTCTTTCACAAATAGAGCATTTCATCTTTCCTCTGAAGTGTGAATCACTTGCATCTTCACCAATGTCAATAGCATTTGCTGCTTTCTTAGCAAATGCATTTTAAGATAGTAATAGCTGACTCATATCTGTTTAATTTGGCCAAATATTTCAAGGAAAAACTTTGGTTTCTAACTTATATTACTTTTAAAATTAATTTTCATACAGCTCCCTCTGGGGAATACTCTATTTAAAAAAACCAAGCTACACACTTAAGGAAATGGTGTCTCAATTCAATTTTGAATCACTTCAGGATTGTTTTTGTATGTGAAATATATAATTCTTATGTTCTATAAATTCTTTATCAGAATTTACAACTTGAGTTCATAAAAGTATGCATTTTTATAAAAATCCCCAGTTAATTCTCATGAATAGTCACATATGTGTACCATTTATTTAGTGGGAAGATCTAAAAGAAAGAGGATATTCATTGGATTTATATTCATATTGAATGGCTTAAGGAGATCAGGAAATTTGATCCTTGAAGGGGTTTAAATGAATGAAACCTGTTATATGTAGATGGAAAGTAAGTATTCTGAATCACTATGCCTAATAACAGAATAAAGCAGATAATAGAGCTAAGAAACAAGAAAAAGTTCACAAATACACTTCTGTGCTTCATGACGCTGCCATTTTGGGCTATGATAAGAAGGTCATGGACTGCCTCATTCCTTGGTCTGTCCATTATTACATTTTTGTATTTATCTTAAGATTCAAAAGTCTCTGTCCATTCTGTTTTATTTTGCCCCCATGCAAACTAAAAACCCATTCCTCAAGGTTTTAGAATTCAGGGTCTCCCACCATAGCCATGTGTCAAGGTGGTAGAGCAGAGTTGAGAAACTCTCTATTACAGTCCATTACTTTTATCTTCCTAGGTTTCCTGCAAAGCCCTAAATACCTAACTTCTATCAGTAGAGTACTAGATAAGTAAATAAAGTTAAAATGTGTAATTCTTAAGTAGAAAATTAGTATATTAGATTTATTGTTACAAACATGGATACTTCTCAAAAAACTAATATAAGGTTTACTTTAAAAAAATAGCAACCAGCAAAAGAATCTAAACAGGATGAGATCATTTATTTAAAAAACTTAAAAAGATACAAATTGATGACATTAATTTTTTATGAACATATGCAAAAGTATAAACATGTACTTAGAAAAAACTCTGAGTGGATAACAATAGATATGTTCCTAATGGATACATTTTTTCAACTGTGTAGATACACATTGATTTAGGATGGAAGTGACCAATTAATTATTGTCCACACCAACCGAGGTGAGTACTCCTGTTAAAATTACATAAATATCTAAGCCTTCTGTTTATTGTCTTTCACTTCAAACTTCAAAGATTATTTGGAATGCAGAAATTATCAGAAGTGAAATTCAGACTGCAATCTGAATCTTAATACTTCTTATGCTGCTGGATATGACTTAACAGTAGTTATTGGATGAAAACTTCTAGAACTGTCAGTGAAACAGTTCTGAAATATTTCTGTATAACTCTAGAGTGTAAATCTCCAAAGAAACACAAATCATGAAAGAAAACCACATGAAACTGTTAACTGCTTTGTTCTCCAGGAGATACTTCTAGGGCTGGGTCTCTAACAGCTTAAAATTACTTTTACTATTTGAGAACGGAGAGTGGTTATTGCTACTGGGTTCTCTGAACAGACAGCTATTTGCTTTCTTGTTTGATTCAAAGAAAAGATGCTGCAATTAAGGATCAAGCACCAATATGCAGCACAGCAGTCTCCAATAATGGAAAAAATATATATAGCAGGTTTAATACCTTCTCAAATGTATCCTAAAGACTTTAAATACCAAAGGAAAGGGAAAAGGAAGGGGGGCAGGTGTAGTGTAAGAGAGAGGATGAAACAGAAAAAAATAAAATAAATAAAAGCTCTCAAAATCTTTCAGCAGTTGCAATACTAAAATGTGTTACTTGGTGTCTTAGTAGGTCCTTCAGAAACCCCATGCAAAGTTATTGAGAGAAGAATACCAGATCTCAAAATGTCACAAACAAAAGTAAAAAAAACATTCAAACACAGAAGAAAGATGATGAATACTGGGATCTGATTTAACTCAAAATGTAAATTTTATCAGTAAGATGAAAGGAAAAGAACAATGGACATTAACTGTTAATAAGAGATGAAAGTTTAAAGAGCCTTGTTTATAGTAGCCGTCTATTTATAATCATTAACTTCCAGGAGGCTAGTGCTTGAAAGCAAACAAACAAACAAAAACAACAACAACAAAACTCCCTTCAAGAGATTGCCCAATTAAGTAAAACTCTTAGGAAAAGTTGTAACAATGTGTTAATGGAATGAGTATTCCTATTTCTGAAGTTCCCTGCTTGTGAGAACTATGTAATTCAATTCCTGTAAAATGGTTTATACACACTCTCATGCACCTACAGAACAAGGATCATATTCATCTTCTAGAAATATGCATGAACAGACATATGCTTTGTAAATATTTTCTTTTAACTAATTATATACCCTACTCCTTTCAGAACAAATTCCTGAGGGTTGAACTCTTGGTATAGCTTCAACATCCATCCAATCTCCACTTAGATATTTAATGTTATTAAATATTATATGTCAAAAACTGACCTTATCCTGTTCTCTTTTCTCCTACAACCCTCTAATCTGCTTTTCCCTCTGATCTCCCCATGTCAGGAAACAGCAACTTCATTATTTGAAGTATTCTGGACAAAAACTTAGGAGTCTTATTGATTTCTGTATTTCTTTCACACACAGAAAAACCTTTTAATTGGTTGAGAGATCTTATAGATTAGATTCTACCTTCTAAATCTGACAGTTGCTCATAACATAAACTGTACCAACTTCATTGAAACCACCTGATATTTTTATAGCTTCCTAATTAATTAATTTCTATTGTCATTGTTATCCAGTACATTCAGCAGAGCAGAGACATTCTTTTCAAATAAACGTTCAACAACATCACAAAGCCTTCAGTGTCTCCCACCTCAATGAGAATACCAACCAACCAACCAACCAACCAACCAACCAACCACTGGAAGTCTTTACAAAGACCCAGGCAGTCCTATGAGATTTCTACCCTTCTAGCATTGTTGTCTTACTCTATCCCTCATAGACATTGTAGCCCAGAATCTTTGCATTTGATGTGGCCTTGGCTGGAGTAGTCTCCCAGTAAGCCATATTTGCTCTCCTTTCCTTCACAAATGCCACCTTGTCACAGAGGGCTTTGAGTTGCTCTATCTAAAATTATAAACACCTTTCCCCCATTCTCTCTTTATTGCTTTCCTTGCAATATTTTCTGCTCAGCACCTACCTGAACTCTATATTTTATTAATTTTTCTTTTTTAACTTTCTGTTTCCCGCTCCCCTGCTAGGAAGTAAGCTCCAAATAATGTTTTTTTTTTTTTTGATCACCAATAAACCAGCTGTTAGAAAACCAGATGCTAGATTCACAATTAATGGGTTGATTGAGGATATGAATCTTGAGTCTTTCTTTAATTCTCCTCCTTTCCTCTTCCTCCTCCTCCTCCCCCTCCTTCTTCTCTTCCCCTTGCCCCCTTTGAACTAGGCAAAGCCAGAGGCACTTTACCACTGATCTACATCCTGGGTCCTTCTTATCTTTTGTTGTGAAACAAGATTTCATTAAGTTGCTTAGGGCTTTGCTAAATTGCTGAGGCTGGCCTTGAACTTGTGATCCTCCCAAATTGCTGGGATTACAGGCAGATGCCACTGTACCCAGGATAATTATTTTTCTATTCTACAATGGATTTAGATTACAAATTGTAAGTTGTATCGTCCTGCCCATTGCACAAACTTTGGAACTATTCGGTTCCCCAATCACTTGTACTAAAATTTTGAGTGTATTTTGGCACCTGGCAGGAGGATTACTTTAGCACAGTTGTTCAAGGCCAGCCTGGGCAACATAGCAAGACTCAGTCTCAAAGGGGGAAACACACACACACACACACACACACACACACACACACACACACATGTGTATGTATGTAAAATAAAATAAAATAAATGTTTGAATAAAAGATTTTATTCAAACATTATAAAAATAAATGTTTGAATTAAGAGCTGGAGAATGATACGTTGGTTGCATCTTAATGCCATAAGATATACTGAAATGTGAAGCCGTCAAATCATTATAAAAATAGAGGTAAAAGTATAATTGTAAATAAGAGAATATCAGAGTAACTCTTGGGGGATTTTACCTTGTCCCCCCGCATTGAGTAATTGCTACCTTGAACAAACTATAGAGAAGCTCCTCAACTTATGGTAGGATTACATCCCAGAGGCCTATTTTCAATGGAAAACATTGTAAACTGAAATGCATTTACAGAACATCATAATTTAGTATCACAGTACTCTGTAGAGTGTGGGTTGTTCACCCTAGTGGTGATGTGGCTCCCTGGGAACTGTGGCTTCCTGCCACCACCCAACATTATGAAAATTAATCATACCATATATTACTAGCCTGGGAAGTGATCAAAATTCAAAATTCATAGGACAGTTTCCAGTGAATAAGCACTGCTTTTGCACCATCTTAAAGTTGAAAAAAAATCATTAAATAGAGCCATAATCATAAATTCTGCACTGTCTATCATTTACTTTTTGAGTATCAGAAGCCTCAACCACTTAGGTTGTTGTGTTAACTTCAGGTTAACTTCAGCTTGTTGTGTTAAAGTAAGAAAGCCAGTATTTCTATTTCTAATTAGAATAAGTCTGTATTTTTATATTCAAAACCAAATTTCATTTACATAATCAAAATTCTATAATCATAATGTTAGTAATATTTTAACTAAGGACACCAAACATCATTCAAAAGT